CCGTCGCTTCACATTTTTCATTAGTTTAGTGGGTTTGTGGCACATGACAGTCACAGTCGGGCCGTGCCAGGCCGGGCAGGGGAAGACACAGGCGATGCAAGCACAAGCCAAGGAGCAGCCATCGCCCAGGACTTCACACAGAGCAACAGAGAGACAGAGAGAGAGAGAGAGACAGAGGAGTGTAAAAGAGATGCAGATGGAGAGAGAGAGAGAGAGAGAGAGAGAGAGGGGGAAGACTAACCAACAGCTAACGATGCGCGCTGTTCATGCCTCAGTCTCAGAGTCTCAGAGTCTCTTGGTGGCGTGGCCTTTTGCCTCTTACTTTTGCATACCCTAACCCCGTGTGGCCCAAAGAGTCTCACTGAAGGCTCACAAAAACGAGTCCTGGAATTAAGATAATTATTAATAGATCCATTCAACTGCAGCGATGGGAGCAACCATTTAGGACATATTTAATGTGTAAAATATAATAAAAATATAAATTATTCTGCTCCCAAAGGTTGATTGAACCCAGGACCAGACCACACACAATTTCAAAATAAATTAGTTTCCAATGCCAAAGTTGTACCTTCTAGCTGGTAACTCTTAAAATCTAGACGTTGAATAGAGCATTTGCTGGGTCGCCTGCACACTTGTGGCCACATATTATGGGTGGACGGGGTGGGAGGGGGATGGGAAATACACACAAGGCTTAAGTGTGGTTGTTGCCGTTGTATTATTTCACTCTTTGACTTCTGTTTTCTTCTGTGCTGCATATTTTGAAAATTATATAAATTTATGCCGATGCGGGGAGAGGAGAAGAAAGTAGAAGAAAATAACGAAATTGCTGGGCCTAATTCAAAGTGGAGCAACTTACCATGCAGATGGATATACTCGTACGTAGAAGGTCCTTGGGTCTTGAGCGGCTTTAATTTCGAGCTGCTGGCAGGGCCACCAGGCTACTGAAGAGATTTCCGATGTCATCCAGAGGTCACCATATTTCCAAATGCTTTGCGTTGCCATCTCTTGAGTGCCAACTAGGTGAGGGCGGCGCGGGCATATATACATACTTGTTTTCTAGTAGCACCTCCAAGTGTCCGTGGTCCAGACTTCCTGTAAAGCGCAAACGCCTCACCCGACCTTCTGGAGAGAGGCTCTTGGTTACCATCGATGGTCAGCATCTCTTCCTCGATGCGTGGCTCATCTTTTCCGCAACTCCTGTGCTTGTTTACCTTCCATCCCATCCTTCCTATTCTCAAATAGCTCTTTTTAATCGTCATGGTGTCTTTCAAACTCTTAATGCATATGAATAAATTAATGAATAAATATACTAATGTGCACTGAGTCCAAGTCCTAATTTAGTGTTGATTCCCTAGACCCAAATGAATTTGTATTGAAAGGCCTGCTGGGCATTAAGCAAATATTTACATCTTCATTCAAATATGTACAGGCACCAAACGATGTGCATTCATAATTAATTTGAATATGCTCTAATAAACATTATTTGCCGTAAATTGGATGCATTATATAATCACTTTAAAGTGTTTTATGCTTAGATTAAAATTGTCTCAAATGTATATATTTTTTTTAGAAGAAAGACGCACCACATTTTGGGGCACAAACTTATTTGTTTTCATTATATATAATAGGTTTTAAGAGATGTTACAACTGATTTATATTAAATAATACACTGGCCTACAGCTCATTCCAGGCTTTGGTTATAAGGAACCTCAAACTATGGTCTGTCTCAATGATGAAAAACAGTTGATTATCCTTAAATCAAATACCGAATAGTCTCTGTAAAGGAATCCGAAGCACTTGATTCGTGTCCCTGCCAATTGTATTTGTAACATTCATCTCTCTCAGCCTCACTATCCTTGACCTGTGCATGCGAGGACCATGTTGCAGTCCTTCCATCTGTCGGTTCGACTCGGATCAAAGTAGCTCCCAATGCGACAACTTCAACTTCACATAAACAATTGCTTAGCCAAACACTCACTTACTGCTTGCTGGCCCGGGGATCCCATACCGGATTTCGTATTCCGTATTCCGTATTCCGGATTCCGGACAGATGCAGCAGATGACACACAGAAGGACACAGGACAGGACAGGAGAGAGCAGTACACAAGAGTGAGGTCTAAGCAGATCCTTTGGCCAATCGAGAAGAGGGGAATATGTTTTTTGTTACGTATATTGATTCATAAATATTTCAATACACATCGAACACTCGGCGAGTGGAAGCACACTGAGGGTGTGGGTGTGGGTGTGGGTGTGGGTGTGGGTATGCGGGTTGCTCGAGGAGAGCATGGCAACCAATTTCAATGAATATATCAAACAACTATAAAAATGCCGCAAAGTGTTTTCTTTTGGCCCGGAGCTTACCTTGATATTTTGCCCCATGCCACGGCATCTTTCTCTTTCTCACTCTATCACTCTTCCACTCCCGCTCCCTCCTCCCTCCTCCCGCTAATGCTTATCGGCATCAACAGTTAAAGAAGATATTCATTTTTTGTTGTTCATTCTGAATTTTCATTTTTATTTATTTGCGCATATTTGATTTGGCCCCAAACGCAAAAGAAAAGAACAAGAGTGAATGGACGGACCTCCGCTATAAAGGCGAAGATCCGAATACACTGGAAAGTCCCATGGGATCTACACAGAAAATATGATAGTTACATATTGGTAGAAATGCTGGTAAAAAAGATAAAATAGATATGGAGTTTGTGAGGTTTTTATATGTTCAATATTTGAAGACTCTTGCCGTATTCGTCGCCAAGAAACGACGAATCGTGTTCAAATCATTTTAAATCGGTTGAACTGTCTAGGGCACAGGCCCGAATAGCTGATATTTGATTTAGGTTTAGGCAGGAATGATTACCCTTGCGAGAGACGAGTCCGAGACCAACTTTCGGCCCTAATTGGGGACACCCTGTGCCAGGGTGAGTGTATTTTGGGGGAAAGAGTTTTTTTTGGTTGCTTCGCTCGCCAGCAGGCCACTTCAGCTGCAGGATGCTTATGGCTTTTTATGTGCCTTGTTTGGGATGCTCCTGGCTCCGTCGTCGTCGTCGTCGTCGTCTCCTGTTTCTCCTGCCGCATCCTTGAGCATTGAGCCAGCATTTTGAAGTAGGCGTGTGTCCGAGTGTATCTATAATGTGCAGCAGTCCTGCGTCCCGCTCCGTCTCCTGCCCGAACTGTCTTTGCCAATAAAAAAAGGACGGACACAGGCATTCAGATTTGGATTCAGATTCCAGCCTGCTTACGGCTTACACACAGTTATAAAGCATACTCCGCCTATCCACCGCTTTTGTCTCTCTCTTCTCTTGTCTGATTTAAATATCTCCTTGGAGGAGTCGGTGGTCGGTAGTCGGAGCTGGAACCGGAGTTGGATTTGGTATTTGGTATTGGGGGGGACACTGGGTACTGGGGACTAGGGGTTATGCTAAATATTTATGCATGACTGCTTTTCTGTGACATCAAATAAATCACTTTTATAGTTTTTAGGGTTTGGAGTTTCTCAATATTCTTTTGCTAGTTTTTTGTGTGGTGGTGTTGTTGTTGTTGTTTTTGGGAGCAGGAGGCTGTGCGGAATCGCTCGGACGGAGGGGGCAATAGCTATATTTATTGAGTTGAACAAATTGGTAGACACAATTTGCATATATGTATGCAACCCGATACCACCGATGCCACCGATTGAAGGGCAAACACAATGCCAACTTTATTTAACCCTTAAAGACAAGCCACTCATCGAATCATGTGGCATCATCCGCAGTTGCAGATGCATACACAAATATGTGGATAGAGGAAAGGGCAACCACACACACACACACACACACACAAATACATAGATTGACGAACGGATGGTTAGGTTGATTCATTCCAGTCTGTACCTGCTGCTGGCTGTCCATCAGACTGGCAGGCAGGCAGGCAGCACTCGTCGTCAGTGCAACGCTGGGAATCCTTGACACTTGACCGAAAACATCAAATCCCCATTAAGCCATGGGGCAGCAGGCGATAGGTAGTGGCAGAGCGACAAGTACAGCATAGAGCCCTAGGGATGCCTGGCGGAGGCCGAGCAGCACGGGCACGGGGCAGCAGGTGGGGAGACGAATAAATGGCCCAAACCTCAAAGCAATGACAGCCACCGAACATCAACAGGATGTGCAACTCGAGGAGCTTCCATTTGTGACGCAATCGATGCATCAAGCATCATTTCGACCTGTGGATGTAAATATATATGTACGCATATACATACAGGCCTCAGGCTCAGCCTGATGACTCTATTCAGTCAGGTTCTTATGGCTGAAAATCCCCCAATTTTGAGCCTTCAGCAGACATCTCATATTTCCTGAATGCAGTACTATGCATGCATATCGTGTGGCCTATGTACATTGCATGTACATACTTGTATGTATGTATTTATGTATTTATTATAAACCTGAGAAGAGATGAATAATTTCTACATTCTACAACTAAGCTTAAACTTAATTTAATTAATTCAATTTGCGACAATTTCTGGATGATTCTTTTCCATGTTTTTCCATAATTTCCAATGGTAGTTTGTGGATTGTAGTTGATAAAGTTCCACTCTGTCTACATGCATCGAATATGATTTTATGTAAACAAAAAAACAAATTTATTTGAAAGCTTTTATTTGTTTCAAAATATGTTTTAAGTTAATTGTGTGTGCAATGTTGTGTGAAGGCATATTTTAATTATTCCGCAGAACCCATAGCAATATTCCCTCGATCAGTTTTACACCAAATAACTTCGATTTTAGCCACAAACAGCAGTGTGCAGAGTAAGGAGAGGGCCGGCAACTGGGATTGGTTTGGGGTAACTTCTCTTGCAACATGCCGCAAGCCGGCAAACTGCAAAACTTAACATCAGCAGCGCTGTCGGCGTTGCGTCAGCAGCACAGTCGCGTCACAAACGAAAGCTCAGAGTCGGGCAGAGAGAGAGAGAGAGCCAGAAACTCGGAGAAGGAATACCGCAAAGCGAGAGAACTCTTGCTCGCGCTCTCTTTATGCCTCTCTCTCTCTGTCTGTGAGTGGAAAGCTCTGCGCTCCTGGATGCTGTTGCTGCACATTTGCTTCCGGTTGCAGCATATGCTGCAGCTGCTCCTGCTCCTGCTCCTGGTGCCTCTTCTGTCGCTCTTGCCTCTTGCCTGTTCCTGCTGCCTTTTGCTGCTGCAGGCTGAAAATGTTGTAACTTTGCAGCTTATCCTGGAAATTACGTAAGCAGCAGCAGCGCAGGGAGCAGCAGCAGCAGCAGCAGAGAGGTGGGGAGTGGGTTAGAGGGGAGGGGATTCTGCCACTAGGACTACTGCAATGCTGTCGCAATGAATAAGGCGGCAAATCAAAACAAAACTAAATGAAAAATAAATCGACGACAGGCCAAAGGAGAGATCTGCCTGCCACAGGACCGAGAAAGAGAGAGAGGGAGAACGAGAGACAGAGCTGAGCGTAAGGAGGGGAAGGTGGAAATGCAATGAAGCAGCACAAACACAGAAATTAGGAGAAGACAACAACGACATCGTTGCACCTTTTGGCTAATGTCATGGCAAGGGAGAAGAGGCAAGACGCAAGACGATGACTACGACGACGATGCTGGCGGTTAAAACTTGGCTTGGCTTTACCTCTGTCGCCCCCCTCGGGAATAGGTTTATGTCTGTCTCTGTCCGTCCGCCTGTCCGCCCATCCGTCTGTCCGTCCGTCCGTCCGTCCGTCCGTCTGTCTGTCTGTCTGTCTGTCTGTCTCTCTTTTTGGCAATGGCCACGTGCACTTCATGGGTGTGTGCCTTTGCGTCTCTTTGCGTGCGTGTGTGTGTGTGTGCCTCTGACTCTGTCTGTGGCTCTGTGTGTTTGTGGCATATTAACGCTTGCAACCTGACGGCGTGGCGGAGGCGGCGGTGGAGGTGTAAGTGTGTGTGTGTGTGTGTGTGTGTGTACATGGAGTGCCAGCCAAAAAGGATAATGACACTTGCCGCGCATTTACCGTTGCTTGCCAAGCTTAAAGCTGTTGTCCACACCAACACTTTTCCACCGACTAGAATATCCACACTGTCGGTGAGAAATTTCATAAATTATGTTTTAGATTTTAAGTTTGTACTTATTAAAACAATGAAAAATATTTAACAGCTGCACAAAATATTAAATATAAATTAATTAAAGTCCTGACCATCTCTGGCTGCAATAAATAATTCAACAATTCCTTTATTAGTTCACAGTATAAAATGTCTTGCCTAAAACTTGTATTAATTAATTTTTATTTTATTTTTTATTAAAACAAAGCATCTGTAGCACACTTATCGTGTTTCACTTCTACTCCTTTTCCTTTACATACATCCTTTTCCTTTTGTAGTTGTAGTTGTGATACGATAACCCTGATAAGATCCCTCGGTATATGGACAAAAGTGCAAAAGTGCACTCCATTTTGGCTCCCAATAATTGTGAAGCGAAAACTTTAACAGCAGTACGTGCACATTTTTCGGGAATACTTATATCTCGAATGGGTTGGGTAATAATCAAAATGGTTAGTTTATCTATTGGCAAAAGGTGTGTTATCTATGAGCTTGTTTTGGAACTTTTAGGAGCAATTATTACAAGTAATTTTTGAAATAATAGTTGTACATTTTCTTGATCAGTTGAGTCTACATGGGGATGTCCGTCTGCCTTTTTGTTTAGATGGCATAGGGAAAGACGGAGTATTGTACAAAATATTCTGCAAAACTTAGCAACGGATATAATAATGTTACGACTGCTTTTATTTCCGACTTTGTCATTTCTGTTGTCTTCGTTTCATTTATTTAAATGAGACTTCTCTCCTTTATTGTCAACTTTATGTGAATCCTGATCTCTGTCTGGCATCTTGCTTCCACTTCTTGATTTCCTTTTGGTGCAGATCTTAACTGCATTTCCGGAATGTGCTTATTTAATTAATTTGTGAAGCGTGATTTTGGCTTTTGGGCTTTTGGGCTGGCAATTGGATGATATCCATGGGGCATGCTTCCAATACGAAATCATTTGCAAAGTTTGATTGTCTTTTGCCAGCTGCAAAGTGCATTTGCCATATCGCCTCTCTCCCTCTCCATTCCACTGTACTCCACTCCACTCCACTCCACTCAATTTCAGTTTGGAATGAGTTGATTCTTGTTTGGAGTACTCCCGTTTCTGTTCCCGTTCCCGTTCCTTTGGTGTTATCTTGTTAATTGTGCCGCTCCGATTGCAATTTTCAAGTGGTTCCTGTTGAAGTTTCGCACCTCGACGAGTAGAAGCCAACCCAACTCAAGTTACTGTCTCTCTCTCTCTATATCGCCCTTTATAGCTAAGAGGAGAGCAGCAGCTCAGCTAAGTCTGGGTAGCACCTTTGCAGTTTGCCGTCGACTTAATTAGTTTGTTATCCTCACCCACTAACACGACCCCCCATCTACCCATCCATCCCCCATGCCCGGCCCTGCCCGTGCCCTGTGTGGTCTCTGTCTAGTCTGCTGGTCTGGTCTTGGCCCTGTCTTCCACTACGTTTGCCTTCCGTGCAGTCCGGGTCTCGTGTCCTGTCCTCGACGGAAGTGGTTTGACAATGGAACTTAATGAGTATAAGCGGAAATTTAATCAGCAGTATAAATAATGAAATGACAGCTGAATGGTTTGACTCCCTAGCTCGCTCCCTCCCTGTCCTAACCCTGCTGTTTACCGTGCACCCTACTGGAGTCCTTCCGCCTCCCTCCCACTGGCACCCATCCATCCATCCATCCAGCCATCCATCCATTGCTTCTGGTTGGGGTTTCATTTTACGCTAAATGAATCAAAACTCATTTGCTTCGCTTGTTGAGTGTGAATTGTTTGTCTGTCCGTCCTTCGGACTAGTCCGTTGGTTGTTCGCTTATTTGTTCGTTGGCTGGTCAATCAGGATCTTGGCATTGGTTATGTGTTCCCCCCCTCACCCATCTGGATAGACTTCAAGTGGATACTTTGAGGAACAAAATGAATTTCCGGCAACAGGTGAATGTTAGAGCACTGATCCTCTTATACTTGCCACACATTTGGTGGATTTTGTTCAGGACATGGGACTACAGTCCATTGTTATCTTGTTTTTACAACTTATCATCTATTCCCTATTGGATAGAAGCTTTTGGCATTTTTGAATGCATTTTCCGCATATCTAACCAGTAGCTCACAGAAGAAAGCAAAACGATACGCATTCGAGAGAGGTTTACATTGAATAGGAACTAGAAATGAAGAAATATATTTCCACGCAGAGTATTTGGAATTCATGTTCCCCCAACTCACATTCAATCCGTTTGTTTGCTTAAGTAAAAACTCTTTGGCCATTTTGTAGTAGAAACAATGGGCGAAAGAGCAGGAGTGGCAGGCAGGCAGGCAGGCAGGCGAGACCATGCAAAGGCGTTGCCCCATACGAGGGTGGCACCTCGACATACGTACATACGTACATATGTAAGTATGTACATCCTTGTATATGGATATGTATGTGCATATTGTATATGTACAACGCTTTATGTGGGTGGGTGGAACGGAGCTGTGCGGCGGAGCGTGCAATTTGAATTGAACTTTCTGCATGCAAATAAACTTCCATCCAGGGCCGTGGCGGGGGCAAAATGTGAAGAATTTAATTTTCCAATTCATAAACAATTTCGGCAATAACAGTCAAACCAAAGAAGCAGTAATAATACTAACAAAAAAAGCATCCAAAATAGTATTTTGGCTTTTTGGTGGACTCCTTGAGGGAATCTAGAAGAGGTGCATGTACATTCCTCTGACAGCACTAATTTTATTATTTTTTATTCATTGGCATTCATATCATCATTATGTGTGGCAGTATCTATGACAAAATTACCAATAACAATAAAAGATAATAAAAGATTATTATTAATAAAGCATTAGGAAATATTTTTGAGTTTAAGCAGCAATAGCTGTACATACATATATGTATGTACATACATAAATATTGATGTATGCTGTATGTATGTTTTTATATTGAATAGTAGATAGTATATTACCGATCGGCTTGTATGCCGTGCATGGCATGGCTCTGTGCCCTTTGTCCTTTGTAATCATTTAAATGAGCAAATTATAAATTACCCCAATAATGGGCCTCAGGACCAGGACCAGGACCAGGACCTGGACCTGGGCGTGGACAAGGACTTGGACCAGTACGAGGACAAGGAAAACGTCCAGGAGTCAGTGCAGGAATCACGTTCAGACTATGCACACACAAAACACACACACACACGTGTTTGGTTCATGTGCATATAAAATACGTACAATATATTATATATTGCGGCGATTGCATCGCAACGACAATTTTGGCTCATTATAAATTTCCCTTAATTTTAATGCAAAATGTTTCTGGCGCAGTCTGTCTGCTTCGCTCGCTCTCTCTCTGCCTCTATATCTCTCTCCATCTCTATATACATTACTCTGTGTGTGTGTGTGTGTCTGGCACAGTGCCTTACATTTAATGCATCCAACTCCAGCTGGAATCTGACTCCGACTCCAACTCGAGCACCGACGCAACCCACCACCTCGCAGCCCCCCAAGTTGCATTCAACTGCAGCATCCAGAGAGAGAGAGAGAGAGAGAGAGATCTGGAGCCTTTGCCAGTGCAGTGAAGCCATCTGTCCCATCCTTACCCTTACCCTCACCCCCACACAGCTTGTGTCTGGGTCTGTGTGCTGTAGGTAATCATGTTGCTGACAGCATTGTTGCCTCACAGTCCGCTGTTCTGGGATCTACTACCCTACGATTTGGGGTCTGTCATTTGAAATGAATAAAGGCTACAAGTTGAAGCAATTCTTTCATAAAAGCGCATTTTGCACTAGTAACTTCTTCACTTCATTTTCCATGCGTAAAGCTAGAAAACGATTCCCTAAATAATTACTGGGTTACAGTTTTTAAAGGTTAATTCTCTTTGCTCAACTGCATGTGGAATTAATATTAATTGGTAGAATGTGGGCTTATAATCATATAAATATTATTTATTTATTTTTTAATATTTTCATTAAAATATTCAATATTTAATTTCCACTCTTGGGTCAATTAGAGGCAGATGTTTCCGATAAACCATAGAAATTGTGGGCCACGTTTTCGTGAAATTTATTTTAGTTTTGATTTATTTGAAGAATTTTTGAAAGCATCACAAAATTAAATGCAGCGCTGTCCTTGGTTCAGCAGCAAGGGTATGCCAAGCCTCGAATCGTGGCTGAAGGGAAGGCAGCCAGGCCTTCATGTTGCATGTTAAATTGTTGCACGACAATGAGCAATATGGTGCTGTCGGAGCCAAAAAAAAAAAAAACAGACGCGCACAAAAGCTGAGTGAAAAAACAGGGCGGGCAGGAGGAGGCGAGTAAAGCTGGCAAAATGCACATGCCACGTAGTTATGCATATATTTTGCCCCTTCCGAACTCTGCTCCAGGACCTGCTGCCTGCCCCCTGGACGAGTGTTCCAGGCAATTCACAAATTGAACGTACGAAATCACATTAGACCCAACGTCAGCCCCAGCCCCAGCCTCAATGCCAGACCCAGCTAAAGCATCAGCCTCAGCTTCAGCTCCAGATATGTCTGGGCCGGGAGTTGTCCTTTCAACATCTTCGCTTGTTGCAGCAGCGAGCAGCTCCTTGGGGAGGCACCGACCCGACCCGACCCGGTCCGGGCCCGTACTCGTACCCGTACCCGTATTCAATCCCAGAATCAGACCCATACAAGGACTTGGAAATGGAAATGGAGAGCCAGAGTTGGATCGAAAACCGGTACCGGTATTATTTTTGGCCGAACACGTACTCAGCCGCTGGCATTGGCCAATTGGCCTGCTCTTGCTCTGGCTTTTGGTCCAGGTCCCTTTTCCGTGCCCGTGCCCGTGCCCGTGCCCGTGCTGCACGACGTGCTGCAGCAAAAGTTTTCCTTGTCTATTGATTTGAATTTGAATTTTTCGCCTAATTGCAAAAAGTGTGCACAAAGTGAAACAAGCAAAAGATGGAGACGAAGACCAGAGAACGAGCAACGAGCGTACAAAACCAAACATAACAAGCAGAGAACATGCTGGGTACACATACCCTGACAGAATGTATGCAACTATTCCAAACGAAACGATTTCATCGATTCCCATTCCCACATGAATTTTCTTCGGCTTCACAAATAACGATACGTTTCTTTGAGCTTATATTGTATGGCTTTTCAAATGATTCCATGGGGTGTGCTTTTAAAGATTGGCCACTGATTCTGCTCAAGTTATTGTGGAAACTATTTAAATGGCATTTATTTTTCAAGCATGCAATAATGATGTGGCAGCATCGCTGTTACCGTTCTGTGCTAGCAGCCTCTTACCGTTGTATGCTAACAGCCTATTACCGATGTATGCTAACAGCCTGCTACCGCTCTTGACTAACAGCATGTTACGTCTATTCGCTAACAGTCTGCTACAAGTCTTCGCCATCAGCCTGCTAACGCTCTTCGCTAACAGCTTGTTACGCTGCACGCTAACAGCCAACTACCGCTCTTCGCTAACAGTCTGTGGCCGATCCCATTTACAGTGCACTGTTAGCGCTTCTGAAAGCGTGCTCGTGCTCGCTCTCACGATCCACACGGCTCTCGAGCGGCCCTTGGCTTTAATTACGTTCCAACTACGTTCTCGTTCCCAACTGGATGACAATGAGGCGGAGGAGAAAGAACCCCCCCAAAAGACAGTGTCCAAGAAAGCCAACAAATCTGCTGCTCGCTCAATATGGAATGGAGCAGGGGAACGGTAAAGTGGAAAAAAAACATGTGTGGATCGGCCATTAGCTTAAGCCACAACTTCGATGAGGGAGTCGCAAAGAGTACCGGCCAAGCCACGCACCAAGAAGATAGAGGGGCTGCCACATCTCCGGGGGGGGTCGCGGTGGTCGAGCTCCCCTCCATACAAGTCATCCGTGCGCATCGCCGCCTCAGAGAAGCCGAGCAGGTAGGAGAATTGACTATGGCGGGGAATATGTAACAGCCACTGAGGAGAGACCCATTCCTGTCAGCCAGCTGAACACGGAGGAGCACCACAAAAGAGCAGCGGAATAGTGGACCGACCACAGATAACCCCATACGAATGAGCAGAGGGAGCAAAAGAGAGAGAGTACACTCACCTGGACGGCAATTTCGTACGCAACACGGGTGGGTGAGTCAGCCCACGCGTTTGCTAACAGGTAAAGATTACAGGAATTGAATCAAACTCTGCAGCAGCGGCATGCACTTCCAGCACACTGTCGCTTGTTGACATAGCGTCCATATACTCATCCTCACTATCGTTCTGATCGGAATCAAAATAGCTTTCTGCTGCCAGGGAAGTATTTGAGCCCCAGGCACTCATTATCTTGCCCTTCGACTCGCGCCAGATAGGGAACAGACGTTTGCGGCCAAAGGCCTGCAAAAGGCTTTGATCAAATCGCGAGACTTGGTCTCCCATCTGGTCAGGAGATCGACATTCACCCGCCTGCCCCGATCCTTCAGTTCATGCATTTTATTTTGCAGAAGGAACTTCTTCTCTGAGAGAAAGGAGACATTCAGCTCCTTGGCGGTGTATCCGCGTGCCAGATTTCGGCGCACAAAGAGATCGTAATCCTTGACGGTGCGTGCCACAATGTCCGAGGTGGACACTTCCGGCGTACACTCGGTGGCCACAAACATGCCTGCACAAGCTGTCGGGCATGACCCTGATGGAACAGATCATAGATACCATCCGCATAGATGCGCACACGACGCTTCGTTTGCCCCGAACAAGCCATCTCGTACGTTATGCGCTGTGTGTAGTCGCACGCCTCTAGTTCCTCCAAGGCTTGCACATTATTGGCATTCATAAACGGATATTTATCAAAGTTCAGATCATATAGTGACAACGTTGGGTATTGGCCCGACTCAGAATCCGTTGAATTATCTTCCAACTGTTGATCCGTTTCGAAATCATAAAAAGGCGGTTCAAACATTTTATTTGTTTTATTTTTTTTATTTTTATAAATTATAAAATTGAACCACTCAGTTCGCTTCCAAACGATCAAGATCTGGAGTCCATGGATGCGGTCTATCGTCGCCATAACTGCTACACCTCCTCCCACTCCGGCTCCAGCGGAAGGGAATCCTACACCCATTTAGAGGATCGGACATTCGGATTCCGCAGTCGCTCCACATTGATTGTCCCGCACGCTCAGCTCCAGCCAGAGACCCGACAACCCAAGATTTACATATTAATGCCAACCAAAGCTAAAATGCAATTGGGTTCATTAAAAAGAATTCCTAAAATGTTCAATTATATTGAATTGTATCTGCTGGTGGGCAAGATTTGTTATCCAAGATGATGGCAGGACGTTGCTACCTTCTGACTGACTTTGAAAATCATTTCGTTCACTTAAGAACGAAATATCCCCTTCATCCCTTGAGGTTAAGTATTTATTCAGCATTTTGCAACCAAATTTAATTCCGCAAGAGACGATTGGCACTCCGATTTGTTGCCGTGAATGGGCATCAAGGACATAACTCAAATGCTGTGCGTAGTGCATCTTTGTGTTTTTGTATATTTTTCAAACGAAGTGAATTTATTTAATGGGCGCTAAACAAACACTTCTGACTATATCAATCATACATCATTTTCGTATTTAATTGAAAGCCTTTACAACAATTCTGCAAATATTTTGCACACATATATCTACTAATTACCCAATTTTCACCAGTTGAATTGGATATTGAGTTTTTACCTGGTCGCACTTCAATAGTCGAACGTGCAACAAATATGAATATCTTTTTATTTTTTTGCTCTTTTGTTGTTTCATTTATTTTTGGGCATTTTGAAAATATATGCGCTGAAATTGTATGGAGACCTTCGTCTGTTGTAAAATCGAAAACTGTGTTTATTTTGTTATGTCGGGGTGGTGTAGGGGTGTACAGGCAGGCAGCTACAGGCAGAGCAGAAACAAAATATATTTTAGTGAATTTTTAATACAAATATTTGCCTGGGCCCCTTGGGGCTCGGAGAGTGTGTGGTTCAGGGCACTGGGCTATCAAGTACAATGCACACAATATATGATATGCGGTATGGCATGGTACCTAGGAGTATATCGGACAAATTGTTTTCATAGAATTTTCATATTTTGTGCAAATGTTCGGTGCAAACATTAAACGCATAGATGGATGTATAAATATTATAATAAAAATAATACAAGAAATGAGAAATGGAAATCGAAATGGAAATATTTCCATGTGCTCTCCTCTACCAATAGTTTTCGAATTGATTTCACAAGTGTTGGCCAAACAAGTTGCTCTGGGGAGCGATGGACTGCGACGGAGACTGGGGACTGGGAGGCCGTACTACGAGTAGTATATTGAAATGCTGACGAAAATGTATGTAGCGGGAGTCCTGGAGCTGAGCAACAAGCATTCAAGTAGACTTCGACTGGCCGAGTGTCTGCCCACGCAACAAGGTAATCAAATGCAATTGAAAACCCAGCGCAAAAAGTTCATCCTTGACGAGAAGGACGACGATGACGATGAACAACCGTTTGCAGCTCCACAGTTTCCTCCTTTCGGAGTTTGCAGTTCGCAGTTCGCAGCTCCCAGTTCCCTTTCTACACGATCCCGATTTCTACCCGGTTGCCATTGCAACGAATTTAATCAAAAGTTACAATTCCAATTGTCCGCAAGCGGGTCACTCGTGTTGCGTATTAAAAAAGTTCGACTGCGGTGAGACAGGGACCGAGATACACAGATGCGGATAGACAGAGTCGGAGCCACCATATTGCAGATGGCCAGAGACAGAGACATAGACCGGGCATAGCTGGAATGAAAGAGAGAGCAGCAACAGGAGCAGCCACGGCATCGCATCGCTCCCGTTTCATATCCTTGCTCCTATGTAGGCCAAAAACAAAAAACCACCAGAAACAGGAACAGAAACTGAAACAGTAACAGAAAGAGAATGAAACGAAACGAAACCGAAGCGTACCAAAAACTTTACCCGTTTAAATTGCAGCGATTGCATTGAACCAAACCCAAACCGAGCCGGACGGACGGACGGACGGACGGACAATCAATGCCTATTTTTGTGCTGCTCATCGTCGCCTATCTTTACATATACAATATATAAAAAACAGAAAGAGTTTTACCTATTCTCGTTACAGGAAAAGGCAATTGCTGAAAGCGAAATGGTCACGGGTTGGATGTGGGCAAAAGATAATGTCAATATATTCTACGCACTTGTAAAGGACAGTTTGAAAAGTGAAAGATGTCCGGAGAATGTTCAAGTTATTCATAATACTTGTGAAAGCATTGCAGGAACGCAAGAGACCGAACTACTTTTGACTTCCCTCAAATTAAAGTCTTCAATTCGAGACTCATTTTCGTGGCTCTGCAAAAAGGATCCCAGGCAAAAGACTAATCCATGCGCCCAGCTGCCAACCCAAGTCCACAACTCGTCGAACATCCCAGCCAGAAAGCCATGCCGATAATGACGGGTTGGCCGAACAATCAATTAACGCACTGGCAGTCATTAAGATTGCTGGCCAGCCCAGCTCTCGGACTCCTGGTCTGCTCCGGTCAGGTCTGAAGCTCTAGGGCGCAGTTCTCTGTTGATAGTGTGGTCTGGGTGGATGTTCTTCCTTGGTCTGCCGCCTGCAAAATCGATTTGCCAGTTCGCATCCCGCATCCAGCCTCCCTCCAATCTGTCATGCCCATCTTTTTGAAGTTTCGACAAACCTTCGTTGGAAAAACTGTCAATCAACTGCTTCGGGACTCACTCACAAACTAATAATTATTTGTTTGGGCATATAAAGTCTGTCAAATTTTCCAGTACCAGGTACTTTTCCACACATCTTAGCCCTGTCACAATGCCTCTGCCAAGCAAAGAGCAGCGGACGGACAAGTGTGTGCCCAAGGGCAGCAGACTCCGGAAGAAAATTGTTGCCCTGGAGGCGTCTCCGGAGGTGGAAATACTACCGTTCGAGTACGCTGACTCTGATGATGATTTGGGCCCGACACTCAGCCGCAATCACAGCCTCACCACCGTCAGCAGCTCGTTGCCAATCGCCGCTCGCATTGAGAGCAAACACTGTCTGGATGCAGTGCATAAATCCCCAACAAAGTCACCGCGAATGGAGAAGGAAGACTAAACGATAGCGGCAGTCCGGCAAAGGAGTCCGCATATCCCCGATGCAGAACACAATTATTTGTGCATTTTTTATAACAAATTATTTAAAACTTAAAGAAAAGAAAGATCTGCCCAATCGAAATCTCCCATATGCGATCCTTCCTTATTAAAGGTTCTGCAACAGGCAGGGCTGCCTGTCTGCCAGCTCTCGCACCTGTCGCATAATTGAAGGTACATTTCGTTTACTCGTCTACACATGTTCGATGTTTGAACTCGATTGCCGCCGGATGGATGGATGGACTCATCGTTTGCTTTTCGGCGGCATCCAGCCCAAATGCGAAATTGCTATTTACAAACAATTTTACATATTTACGCGGCAACTGATGACATTTTGCTATAAATTTACCCAGCCTAGGCCCAGGACCAGGCCCAGCTCCTGTGCACTCTCCTGGACAAAGCCCAGTGCAAACAGGACCAGGCACGACTTGTCTCGTCACCGTCCCATCCCGTCCCGTCCCGAGGCCTTCTCATACCAAACGCGCCCTGACTGATGGCTCGGACTAGATGGATGGCACGGCAGGGCGGCACAGCTCGACTCGATTCGGCTTTGGCTTTGGCTTGGGATTGGGATTGGGCTGGAGTTGGAGTAGGAGCTGTTGCTCTTGCTGTTGCTGGACGCTTATTGTTAGATGGATGGATGGATGATGTGTTGCTCTCGGTCTCCTACCGATGCCGCATTGCATACTGTTGTTGCAATCCATCTCGTATCTTCTCCGCTCCATGTTCGAGGCCAGGGCCAGGGACAGGGACAGGGACAGATAGAGTTGATGATTTGTGGCGCAAAATGCGAAACTGACAGCGCGCTTCCGCTTAAAGGAAATTGAAATCCTTCTTTGCACAAAATTGTTGACGTATTTACACCCACACAGTTGCAGATGAACAGATGGAGATACACGCAGCCAGAGGGACGGACACGCACACACACACACACACAGACACACTTTTTTGTGGGTTAATTTGGGCTGGCTGGCTGGGCCGACGGGCGTACAGCGCCAATGGACGGAGTGTCGGTTGTGGGTAGGTTATTGGTTTGTTTCAGGGTCTCGTCCCCCTGCCAGGAATCCTAATGAATCCTTGTGCTCATGCGTGAGTCTGATTAGTACCCAACGACACAGAAACAGATCGCCAGTACATGAACATGCGCTCCCTGGACTTGCTCCATGGCTGAATCCCAGGAAAGATTATCTTCGAGCATATTTAAGCAGTAAGCATGGAACTATTAAGTGTGCCAGCCTGGGAATCTGAGTGCCACAATCTTTCCTTCAATCTGCTGCAGGGATTGATTGAATTTCTGCAGGTTGATTCTGGTATTTGAAAGACAACCTAAAGCATAATAAATTAAAAATTAAAATCTACTGGCAAGTGGAGAGGAGAGATGGGAAGATCCACATCTGTGGCAAAATGAGCAACTTTATGGCCATCAAATGACGGAGCCTGAACCGTGAACTTCCATCATCTTGGATAAGGTATTCCACCCACAACTTAGTATAATTTAACATTCTAACAATTTGTTTTGTAATAAACTCAAATGCAATAAAGAAAGACGGTTTCTTCCTATTGGAAGTGAACTTGGACGGTGATTACGTCTTTGCCGCAGCGGGTCATGCACTGGAGCTGGGCGTGCGGTACAAACATTACGGAGGGACTCTGGAATAGGGCAGCCATGGTTCGGGGGTCGCGAATGTCGTAGGGCTGGGCTGTCAATGCCGAAAGGGTGTCCGGCATGTTGGGGCGCGAGGACGCGACGGATACAGTGCCGAAGATCCGAATGTTGGTGGGTCGGAAGCTGCACAGCCAGACGAGAAGAATCTCCTCCGGCGTCTGTTTGTTTAAGCCGATCACGTCGGAGTATCGCGTTCGGGCTGCCATGAGCAGCACTGGCAGCAGATTGCCAAATCGAACGCCCTTAGTCCTGCCGATGATCTTGTCCTTCACCTGGTACAACATGATGCTTGTGGCCTCATTGAGCTTCGCGAACTTGGGGTGCAGGTAGAGCGTTTTGGTCTGTCGCAGGCCGACTCGTTCCACGTTCAGCGTCTGGTGGTCGTAAATCAGATGGGTGTGGAGGTCCGATGGGAAGAACACTCGGTGGCACTGCTCGACGGGGCAGTGAACGGGGTTGCAGCTGGTGATCATCTCCTTGGGGCCCGTGTCCGTGAGCAGGTGTGATTTATCTGTGAACACGCTAAGAAGCTCCTTGTGCGTGACGGGCACCGTATTAAACTGAGCACCCAAGGGCGGCCCCTTCACCTTTAATGGCGTCGACCAGTTGGGGCGTTTCGCCAGACGAACGACCTTTGTGGGATCATGAGCGATGCGCTGATAGTGGCTCCGCTTCAGTTGCATCATCTTCGAGTGTGCCTCTACTCTAGGCTGATCCTTGCTTTCGACTTGCTTCTGCATCGATTTCAGGAGCGATAATAGCAGTGCATCGGCCCGAGGATTGTCTTTGTCGTTGCAGGAAGCCGCCACTCCGAAGATCCGCTCCAGCTCCTTGCCCTTCCATATCGATGGTGATTTCAGCTCGAAGTGAGTTCCAGCATTGTGACGCTTCTTGCGATCCTGCCGGGCCAGTGCGCGAAGCTGCTGCTTCTCCACCTGTTTCAGCTCCTGCAGCTCCTTCTGGGTCTTCTTCAGTTTATGATTGATTTTTAGGCAAAATCTGGCCAGCCGTCGCATAGTCTTGCGCCTGTCCATGTTCTGGGAAATTTTATAAGTGCCTCTTAGGGTGCAAACCACCATGGCCTTGTGCAGAGAGATGCCGCTGGTCTTGCGCTCCCTTTCTTCGCTCAGATCATCTGAAGACTCTGCCGAATCAGATTCCGGTTCCTGGCGGTTCCTAGGCATTGGTACGATGGGCATTGGGTGCCCATTCCCATTTTCGGACATCCTCACTGGTCTTGCTGGGTTAAAAATGGAGCGATCTACTGGCGGCTGGCGGTTCGGAGTGAGGTTTGCTTTAGCTTGTTGCCCATCCACCATGTCAGATTGCCCCTTCGCTTACCTCTGGGTGCCCCCTCAGTTGGGTAAAGAAGACAAAGCACTGGCAGGCACTGCAGTTATCCGAGACACCCAGCCTCTCGCCCTCCTGCTGCTCGGGGCCAGTCGCTCTTCGTCGACACTCGTACACCGGTTCAGACCTGAGCCGCCTCTTTGTCGCACCGCATTGGGTGCACTTGTACATTATACGATATCGGAACTATTAATGGATGTATTGAAAATTTAAGCACAAGCTTTAGGGGCGAAAAGTGTCGTAGATATAACTGAGATTTGGCTTAAGTGATGGACTGACATTTGACAGCTATTCCTGATGTTCCTCTATATTTGTGTTGTTTATTTTTGGGCACTTCAACCCGGGGTTGGACGTGGGGGGGGGGGGGGGGGGGGGGGGGCGGGCACACTGTGCGAGGGTCAGTGGCAGCTTCACTTCCGGCCGGACATGTGCTGATTGTACGAGTATATGTGCATAGGTGTACGCCGATGCTGGCGTTGCAGCGTGTTGCTGCACTTTGTTGGGTTACGCAACATGCAACATGGAACTTGCGGCATGCGGCATGCGGCACCACCTGGCGGAAACATGGCCGGAGTTCAAGTGCATTAGTATCTCCATCATCATGCACATAATTTGCATGTGCCACGCATGCAACGTGCGTATTGCATGGGTCACTGAGTAAGTGGCCACCGCAAATCCTTTTTGTTTTTTGGAACTTCCAGCGACTGTTTAAGCTTGATTCGACGACCAGAAGGGTCACCTAATTGGTAGCATGCCACACACACTGACACACAGACACACCGACACAGAGAGGTTGGCAATCAACGACTCTCCAGCGGCTTAGGCACACAGCTGCAGTCATAATAAAAGGCTGCGCCAAAGGCCAAAGCGCATTATGCAAATTATTTGACATGCAAATATTTATCTTTATTTTTTTTTGCTTCCTACATTTGCAATTAGGGTTTACCTTTTTTTTTTAGTAAAAATTCTAAAACTCACTGCAAAAGAGTTTGGCTGGCAATGCTGCTATTCTGTTAACCGCTGCTGTGTGTATGCGAGAGCTTCACGCTTCACGTTTCACGTTTTAATGTTTGTTTCTGTGTTGCCCCAACCCGCACGATCCTGTGCCGAAATGCCCGAAGTGCAGGGCCAGAGGCCACTGTCATTCGGCTGTAACTAAACATTTTTGTTCTGACTTGTTTCTAATGGCTAAGCGCCTTTGCAGTGGAGCCCCAAGCTCCCACTTCTTTTCCAATTTCCATGGAGTTCAATTAGAACTTGTCATTGAGGTGCTGCACAAAAATAAACTAAAAGTACGGAAAAATAAGACCAGGGAACAAAGCATCGACACTATACCTGGATACCCTTGCTGTACTGTAAAAAAACTTATTTAAATATTTATTCATTATAAAATATTATTTAAACAACAGAAACGATCCACCAGCGCTTATATTATGTTATTATGTTGTTTCAAGGCTCATTGAGTGAATCTTACCCTCACTTCGGCACTCATTAACTCCTTAGGCTGTAAGGAGGGCACAAAAATGAAGCTCTCGAATGATTTTTGCCTCAGAGAGCGGCAACATAGCGCATAGATCCAGACCGGGAAGCCGCAAACGGGGCTCCATATATTCCATATTTGAACAGGTATTAAATATCACATCGAAAAATAGTTGAATGTCTGGCCAAAAGGCATTTTGTCCAGGTTGGTTGCAGCACCTACAAATTCGGTCAAAGCCCCCAGAACAGAGGCGTGAGTGGGAGAGGGCAGGGTGTCGAGTGTGGGGCAATGTCAATGGCATTGGCAGCAGGTTTGTTAGGGGCTTTGGTTTTGCTTTGCTTTGACCATTGAGCATTTGCGGTGGTTTTGCCTGTGCAACAGAAAAATATGAAATGCATTGGCCTAATGTTCCAACTGCACATTCCTCTTTTTTTTTCTTTTTCCTTTTTTCTATGCCTCCCTCTCTCTCTTGGTCTTTATTTCTTTGTATCTCTCTTTCCCGACCACTGCCATCTGTTTTTGCTGGTGCGTTGTTGTCGGCTTGTCCGCTTGTCCGCTTGTCCGTTGCCCTGCCATCCTTTTATCTGCCCTCTTTGCACCTTAACCGCAGTTTACTGTGGCCTCCATGCTCCATCTAGTCATCGATGGTCATTCATCTAACTGCCGTCTCTGTGTCCGTTGCTCCCTTTCCACCCCATTCCTCTCTCTGCTTCTGCTTCTGGTTCTCCTTCTCCTGGTCAGCACTCACTCTCTTTTCGCCTGCACTCACTGCTGCCCTGTCCTGTGTCGGTGATGGTCATAAGGACCATTCTAATCCACTTTGTTGAAAATACTCCAGTGCATATTGAAGGGTCTGAAAGCATTCCAACCGATCAGGGGTGTCCGACCTCAGAATGTAAAATGAATCAAGTACGATTAAAGCAAAGAATACTTATATTGGATCTGGGAAAGATCCATTTGTTTGCAGGCACCGAGACTAAATTGCAAATTTAAATCAACAGATTTATGTTGGTGTTTTTCTTAAGTGAATAAATCTGTAATAGTGTTCAACGCTTTTGGATGAAAGTTATTTATATGCACTTCCTTTGGCATTACCATCTCTGCAATCCCCTCTGCTGGCGCCTCTGTTCGGGATGCTGAAAGCCCCTAAGCTACGTTTGGTGAAGCGTTTCAAGTTTAGCGCAATGGTGACAAGGCATAGGGGCTGGGCCGGAGGGCCGTGTTGCAGGTGGGAGGGTTTAAGGGCATATCGTCCTGCATATCGATTTGATGTGATTTTCATTAAAAACTCAACACAGGTAGAGTAACACAACAAACTGGAATCTGGTAAATGGGATAGAGGCAGTCCTGCAGGACTGCCCTGCAGAATGGAGATGGCGAGTACCGATGGAGTGGTAGAGGCTAAAAGCCACGCAATGCACAAATCCACGTGATGAGGTCATGAAGGGACTTTTCGTTCCAGGGGATTGCAAAAGAAAATCGTTATAAAATCAGCTTTTAGCTGCTCCACCCTTGCCGCATACCGAAAAAGAATTCAAAATAAAAAAAAAACACCCAAAGAAAACCAAATGCAAAAGGAAAGAGAAAGCGAAGCAACAACAAAGATGACAAATAGAAAAACGATGAATGGGCCAAAAAGCGGAAGCAGCTGCACATTAGCCACGAGCCAAGAGCCAAGAGAGAGAGAGAGGGAGAGGGAGAGAGAAAGAGTTCTGCGACTGGGACTGAGGAGGGGAGAGCTGTTGTCCTTTGTCCCTACGTGAGCAGTCAAAGTTCGACCAGCATCAGTCCCAAAGAAATTAAAAGCAAACAAACAAATCGATTATTAGCAAACACCCACACATCAGATGCCTAGCAAAGAAAGCAAAGAAAAAGGGTTAGGATACGTTTTTTGGTAGCCGGAAATCGGACATGGATTTGTACTGGCCAAAAGGACCTACGCAAAAGTGTCGCTGGATCTGCTTCAGGGGCCTTGGACTCCTTTGCTACCCGGACTCCATCTTCATTGTTTGCTGGAGGCTGTTGGAGGGAAATCTGTTTTCCGTTCGATATTTTCACGCATGATTTATGACCCCGTTAACAAGTAAAAGTCTCCAACATGCAGCAGCAGCATCCCAAACATCCAACCAGCCAGCCAGCCAACAGTCCACCAACTTGAAAAATGAATTTCTCGTTTCTGTCCGAGACCAGAACCGCCCATCCACCACCGCCATTTCAGCATTCGTTTTGCTAGTACCCAACCCGCTCTGCCACGGAAGATGAAGTGGCAGCGAAGCACGTAAAGCTCGGGGCGTTGCGGGGCAGGATCGCCCTCTTGTTCTGGGCGGGGGCGTGCCGCATAAAGTTGCCGAAATGAAGCTTAATTTAAAGACAAACATTTGTGCATAACAGCGACAAGGACAAGGGTTTCCGTGCCTGCTGCTTCCACTAGACTCCTTCCAAGTTCCAGGTTCCAAGGAGGCGGTAGGCGGGACACATGGAATGGTGTGTGGCCCCAGCAGGAGCAGCAGTTAACCAAGGGGTATATTAGCTAACCCACACTTATAGTCGGCAAGCTGCAAAAGGGGAGCGGGGCGGGGTTACCAATGGGTTGGCATTGCCCCTGTCCATTCTTGAAAGTGAGTTCTAATTGTTTTACAAGAATTTAATTCTTTTTCCATGCGTTGTTGGGCACTTAAAAGCAACTTCCCCTTTGGGATTTGTTGTCAGACACCTTGAGAAAACCTGGAAAAAGGAAACACGCACACAGAAATATACAATCGTTAGATGGGCAGATTTGTTTCGTTCATCGAACCTGTGACCAGGTCAACTTTTTGAAGATTTTCCGTTTCGTTCTCTGCCCTTTAAATTTCCATTTCCATTCGCATTTTTTGTTGTCGCAGTTTCGCGCTGCCATCAGGCATTGTTGACCACTAAAAGTAGTCGGCACAGGGCATAAGTGGAGTCCATCAATCGCCGCCATCTAGCCGTCTCTCTCCATCTCTCTCACGTTTCTCAAACTCTTATCTCTGACATTCTCACTCTGGCAATGGCCGCGTGCGTGCCTGCCTGCCTGCTGTCCACGTTCCAAGCAGTTAACCGAACTTGGACACAGCGAGAGAGAAAGAGAGACTGAGACTGAGACTCTTGGCTGCTTGTGTTTGTCTTGGCCAAGGCTAAAATGTTTGACTGGGAGAGGCTGGTTGGCTGGTTGGCTGGTTGGCTGGCTGGTTGAGCCACCCACCACCAAAAGGGAAAAGTTTTGCCCCGTCGCTTTATGAATTTTACATATGTTTTTGGCTGAAACTGAGCCGAAGAACGATATGAGGTGAGGGTAGTAGGTGAGGTGGCCCCTAACCGAAATGAAATAAACATTAGAGAAGAGAACAGGGAGAGGAAAGGAAAGGAAAGGAAAGGAGAGACTGGCAGTGGGTGCAGGAGGCAGCAACCAGGCGGCAGGAAATCCATACAAATCAGAAAAGTAAAAGGAATAGCTGCCAGCCAGAACAACAACAACCATAACGAAACTAAGCAGGTGTGCTCTTAACGGTAAAAGAGGGTGGCACAAGAGGGTGAATCAGAGCGGAGAACGAGAAGTATTTGGACAGGATAAGGGACTTCCGCTGGCATTGTCATCAATCATCGCAATTCTCGCGCTCCGTAGGCCGCGCAGCCCACGCGGCACCTGCAAATGGAACAAGGAACTGGAACAGGATGCATGGCTGCTGTTACTGCTGCCGGAGTCTTTTTTCTTTACTTATATTTTGTTGGTCTAATCACGAGTCGACTTCAACTGC